CATACTAAGATGTTCTGGTGCCCTTTGGGGCACCTTCTCTGGCATTTCCCTTAGGGGAGAAGCCTCTCTTTTTTATATCAAGCATTGCCAAATAGTGCTTTTCTAATCTTTTGGGTGGTGAAAAGCGTGAGCTAGACTTTTCCTGAGGCACTGTCCCGAGTACACCTCACGGAGGGTTGTTTTTACAGGGAGAGTGGATCTGAACAGCTTAAATGTGATGGCAGCTGAGGTCCAGCCTGCTATGTGGCATTGCCTACATCTTAAGACAGTATCTTGCTCAGGTAGCACCTTGGAAGAATTGCTGACTTTTGTCTTTGGAGGTCTTTCTAAGTAACCTCTCTGATGCACCATAAAACTATGAGTGCATTTCACACGTACAGCAGCTATTGATGATGGCGTACCATTCATGCTCAGTAACTGTCACCCTCCCTTGGCACAGGTCCATCAGCTTCTACGAGCCAGTGAAAATGAACTCGGCTGTCATTCGCCTCGTGGGCTTCCTTGTTCTACTGGCAGTTGTTCAGCTGTGGAGCCTGCCACATCATGACCCCAGGCAGTGCACTGAGCAAAGCCTGGAACGAGGTGGTGGGCTTTTTGCTGGTTATCCTGATCCTACTGACAGGCTGTACCATTGCCGTAAGTACCAAGTCCCAGTGGTTTTCTGTCCTTAGTGCTGTGGTCTTATATTCACATTGCTTCCCTTAGATAAATGATAAACCATCAGTTCAGGTTGGCAGTGGATTTTGGAGAAAAGGTTGTGGTGAAGTTAGAAGGCTGGTTTGAGTTGTTGCCCATTTCACTAGCAGTCTCCTTTAAACCCAGACGTTCACGTCTATATCTCTAACGTGGGGATAAAATTTAGCTCATAGGGTAATGTGAAAGTCAAATACATCTGTATGAAAGCACTAAGTAATTACAAAGGAATTTTGTGTAGCTTTTAAGGCAATTTAAATGGCCACTAAGGATTTAATTTCCATTCCATTGTTTCTGTGTTGGCCTCATCACCACCTACCACTCACGTTAGGACAGTTACAGCCGCACTCAGCTCCCACTGCTCACTCATCTGCTCTGACTGGCCTTTCTCCTGTTCACTTTAATTTGCTCTTTGGATGGATCTTCTCTGACTACAGAACTTTTTTCAGCTCCACAGTGACTTGTCTGTATCCTGATGGGAAGCTCTCATCACAAGGAGGTTTAAAAAAAAAAAAAAAAAAAAAATCCTCATTTCCCTGCAGAATTCCATGTGGTTCAGTGTATCTAACGGGGAGACTTGCTTACAGAGGCAGCCCCTGTGGAACCACTGCGCATTGGGAAAGGGAGTTTACATCCTTTGCCTTTCTGTTTCACAGTACTACCCATGCACACAGCTTTTGAGTGGCTCTCACTTTCAGAAATCGGTCCTTTTCTAACCACTTCTTGTTGCCAGAGGACACTGGGCATGAAATTAGGCTCTCACAACAGGCCAGGTTAGCGTGAAGGATTTGCTGCTGCTGCTGCTGCTGCTGCTTTGGCAGTGGCTCTTTGAAAGTGTGCAAGAGAAAAGCCAAAAAATAAAAATCAGGAAGATAAGAGTTCCAGGAAAAATGCATTATTTGTTTATAGCTAATACATACTCACTTCTGAAAGCCTATTATTTTCTCCCTAGGAATCACCCACACAAATGCTTATCTTTCTGTTCAGCATGTAAGATAAAGTAGGAAGCCCTAATGACGATTTGTGGCTCAAAAGCCAGTATAGAAAGAATAGAATTGGATAAGGAAGAAGCAAAACAGCAATTCAGATATTAAAACTGGCAAGAGTTTTGTCCAGGCTAATCATTCTGAGAATCTAGAACTCAGAAAGACTACCAACAACAGATAAGTTTTTAATGTGGAAAGTTAACTACCTTCCTAGGAAGCAGTTAAGAATAGAGCACCTATTTTGGCTGGACTACTGTGTCATGGTCCTAGCACCTCTCATTAGGCTATGAACTTCTCACCCCAGTGCACTTCAAGTTCTTAAAAAAAAAAAAAAAAAAAAACCTCACTGCCATCGAGTTGATTCCAACTCATAGCGACACCCTCTGGGTTTCTGAGGCAGTAAATCTTTATGGAAATAGGTTGCCCCATCTTCCTTCCGCAGCATGGCTGGTGGGTGTGAACCTCCAACCTTCTGGGAGCAGCTGAATGCCTGAGGCAGTATGCCACCAGAGCTCAGTAGGAAGTGGCAATCAGTAGCACAGTAGGTTTTACTAACAATTAAAAAAAAAAAAAAAAACTCTCAACATAATTGTTCAATATAAAGGGAAAATGGAATAAAATTACTGCAAAAAATTCTTGTATCATAAACTCTGAGACTACCTAAATTATTTGATTGTCCTAGAATTATTGGATAATAGGATGGTGCTTGGAAATATTCTTGTCATATAGATTTCCATGAGGATGATGTTTGTTATAAGCATTCAACCTCTGACTTTTATGGGTTTAAGATAATGCCCTAGTGGCAGCAGTAAACAGACCAATGCCAAGGGAAAATAAACATCATTTGTGACAAACACCTAAACTAAAAGAACATTATGGAAACCAGTCTAGTAAACCTTGAATTTGAGAAATGGTCTCTAACTGAAAAACAAATGGCAGAACTCAGTACTGTTCTTATATATTAAAGTATGTGTTTAATAATGTGTGTCTTCAAAAATGATAATAGAAGGAAAAACATAATTCAACAAAAGCCATTTTCTATGGCTAATCTATTAGATTTTTTGGAATCCTTCAATGTTTAGGAGTTTCTAGGCTTGGCCTAGAGCACTGTCATCATTTCTGGCATACATTTATTCTTTCAGCATGATTTTACTGTCCCTCAAAGCTTTCATGTTTGCATTTTCCAGAGTAGCCAACACCCAAATGGAATTTGAGTAATTTACAATTCCTTTCCAGCTGCTTTCTTCTTGTGAAAGACCTGAAGTTACTATTAAAACATCCTTTGATATCAACCAGTGTGCTCTTTTGTCCACTTGAAAGTATTTTCCGTTTTTATCTTTTGCCCCTCCCTAGTTTTCCACCATACGTAAATTTTTTTTGTATATAGATCCCAAACATTAGAAAGTAGCTTATGTTTTTAAAGTGGAAACAGTCCTTCAATATATCACTCAGTGTGTTTTTATTGTCTTTTCAGGTTGTTGCTATAGACCCTGTCCTGGGCTCCTTTCTGATCCTCACTAGTGTCACGTTGATGGTACTTGTGATCATTAACCTTTTAGTTTCTGCCATTTTAATGGCCTTTGGTAAAGAAAGGAAGTCTCTTCAGGTAGGAAACTCTCTCTCTGGCTTAATAATCTAAATATATATACTGTATCATGATTTTGTCACTGAAGGAAAAACTTTAAATTGTAGGTGCACTTAGATTACAAGCTGACTTAACTCAGTATCACCATACTCCCTTTATTCTCAACCATTTTCTAAGGGAACCCAATGTACTGATACTACAGGATCTCCTATATCCAGTGTCCTATAACTAGCTAACACTCAACCATTAAATGGTGGGAACACTCCAATAAGAGCCAATCATTAAAGGGAATAATTTTGCATCTTTAGCATTTTTTGTCTCCAGCATTAGTTAACAATTTCAGTTTTCTCACTTTTTTTCTTGTCTTCAAACTCGGAGAAGCTGCCCTGATAGACAGGATGCTGCAAAAGCTTTCTGAGTTTGTCAGGAGTCCAGCAGCACCAGAGCACCCTCTCATCCAAGCAAGCTGCCATGACAGCAGTGGGCACTGGCCCGCAAGGTTCAGATTATGGCCTCTCTTAACCCCACTACCTCCTATCTGAGCTTATTACTTCTTCTTAGCATATTAATGCTTCCCTTTACATGGCATAGCTTAGATACTTAAAGATATATACAGTATATTCTGTTCTTAATTCTGTAAGGCAGGAATCAGAATCACGTTGGCTTCAAGTTCCTATGCTTATGGATCCTGGCACTGTCAGGAGAGGGCTTACCACTGCAATGACACAGAAACCAGCTACCAACACCACTCCTCGCCCATGTTCCAGGATGGCTCTGGGAAATGAAGGAGTGAGGAAAGAAGAAAAGGAGTCAGGAGAGAGAGGAGGTTTGGCTGATGGGGTGCCCTGTCACAGAGCAGTAACCAAGCATATTCACAGATGTTATCTGGGCTTCCACACAGAGGTCAGATGGTCACATTCCTGTTCCAGACAACTGCATTCCTGACAGAGCCAAAGCTGAGGTCTGGCTGATACACCAGCATAAGCTGCTTACTGAAAAAACACTCTACTAAAATCTGAACTTGTCCATCATTGGACTGAACAGTGGAGAAAGCAGAGTACAGAGTCTTTAACTTTATTATCAGCTACTGAGCTATTAGATACAAACCAATCAAAAACATTAAAGAAAAGTTCCTCGAAACAAGTATGTACAGATCACTATACAGAAGAGAAATCACATCTTATAATCTCAAAGCCCCCCCTGTGGGGAAGGATGGCCTTGGAAGCAAATGAGTATATAAGTTACAACAGTAAGAATCTCATCCATCCATGGAAGCAGGGAACAGCTACAGCCATGTGGGCACCAAAACAATGATCTGAGATCAGCTTCCTAAAGTTCCACTAGATGATAAAGTTTTCAAATGAAAACAGGTACCTCTCTTCTCCTGTAGGCTTTCCAGCTCACTACCCAAGAGAGACTTGGGTACTTCTATTAAGGCAGCTGGAAACCGACCCTAGCCTTGATCAGCGATATCTGCCCAACATGTGGCCTGTCCTTCTACCAGTGATGCAATCCAACAGACCATGCTATAGGGAAATCATGAATTGACATAGTGCTGCCCTCTGATAAAAAGGAAACACAGCACTCAAAGCAAAAGGCCACAGAGGGCTCCCTGAGAATCCAGTAGAACTGAGGCCATCAACTTTCCCAATAAACTTTGCAACTGGATCCAGGTGAAACAATGCCCTGCAGCAAGGAGTAGCGTATGTGCCAATGAGGGCCCAAGCTTCTAGGAACCATTACAATGGCTTCCTGAGTCATTTTCTCTCTCCTATTCATATCAGAGTGCAAGAAAACCCATTTTGGCCTTGACACTCTCTCTCAGCACAGATCCCTCTATATAGAGAGAGGTTGGTTTCTAAGTCTGGCACTCAGCACAGGGTGGAGACACTTTGTGAAGTGCTCTTCTTCACTGTCCAGCCATCCATGGCAGCTTTCCCCACAATGTTTTCACCCTATTCTCCTCTGAAGGGACTGTGGGATACGCCAGGAGAGAACCTGGGTCACACTGACAGGAAATGGACAAGCACAGCTGCCAGGAGTCAGCTGCTCTGGCCTCAAAGTCTCAGTCGTTAGTCTCTTAGGAGCAACAGAGAACTGGAAAGCAGCAGAATTTGGTAGAGCAGGAAGAGAGCCCATAGGAGGAGTACGCTCAGTGATGATTAATAGATGGAACGGAATTTCATGGAGATTCTTTGTTACAAGGAGAAGCCTCTCGGTCCCAACTCCCAGAACTTGGAAGCTGCCTGGTTAAAGCCTATGTTTTCTTTTTTAGCTCTTCAAATCTCCGGGAAAGATCATCAAAGTCAATGTCTTCAGAAGCTGAGGTGTTGGCACCAGCAGATGCAGTGGGTAGTGTGTCTGGCACAGATGGCAACTCTGGTAGTACAAAGCTGTCGTAGTTATCTGCAGGTCTGGAAGGAGGCTTTGCAGGGGCTTCTGGCTTGGGCCCAGGACCTAAGGAAAGCAAGGAGCACAGTGTTAATGTGCCACAGAAATGACAAGATCTTCAAAGCCCGTAATTTCCTTTGACAGAAATCATAAAACCGGCAAAAACAGCGGCTTTTAAAAGATTCTTAAAATTCAACTCTACAGGTAAATGAAAATTTTCAGGACAATTTGTTAAACTAGTTTTCCTAATTTTAAGTGAATTCTGTGTTTTATTTTCCTGCACTGGGGGGGGGGGGAATTAAGGACTAATCAAAGTATGGTATATGAAGCCAGGTAGACAAGAGCATTCATTGAAAATATCCTTTCACAAAGTCTGTTTATATAACAAAATCCAAAGAATGGCACTAGAATTTTGTTGAAATAAATACTGCTTCCTTAAGAGCCACTATTTAAGACTTAGGGGGAAATTCTGTGTAAGGCATGTTAATGTCCATGTTATTTGATTTAATGGGATCTAATCTGTCTTTTTAGTGGTCTGTTTTGTATTTTAAAGGTGCTCTGGTGGCACAGTGGTTAAAGCATTTGGCTGCTAACCCAATGTCAGCAGCAATTCAAACTCACAGTCACTCCTTGGGAGAAAGATGAGGCACTCTGTTTCCATAAAGATTTATAGCCTCAGAAACCCCATGAGGCAGTTCTACTCTGTCCTATGGGGGGGTCACTATTGAGTCAGAATTGACTCAGTAGCAGTGGGCTTGGTTTTTTCGGCTTGCTTTTATATTTTGTAAGTTAAAATCATGCCTTCTCTATCCACTGCCTATTTCCATTTATTTATATGTTAAGTTCTAGAATAGGCCAATTAAACTACACTTACAGAAGATCAATGATCTGACCCACAGCTGATCGTTGGGATGAGGATGGCATGGATCCGTTTTGTTCTGTTGTGTGTAGGGTCACCTTAAGGTGGGGGGCTGACTTGATGGGAACTAACAACACAGAAGATCAGTGGTTGCCTCTTGGGGTAGGGGTGAAGGTGCTTGGAAAGGAGCACAGGAGAACTTCAGGGGGTGATGGAAAATGCTCTACATCTTATTAGGGTAGTGGTTACATGTATCAAAATGCACCAAAAAATTCAGCAAACTATGGATTTAAAATCTATGTTGTTTTACTGTATAAAATTATACCTTAATAAAATAAATGTCTCCAGTTTAGAAAAGAATTCCCCTTCTGGGTTTCTGGGTAATGTTTTATTTTTTCATTGAATGGACAACTACATATATGGACATGCTTGCTTTGTGAAAACTTACTGAGCTATACACCTACGACTTGTACATATTTCCCCCTCTTTAACTTCTCTTTAGTACCCCAAATACACAGACACACACACACACATGCAGTTTTTTGTTTTTTGTTTAATTTTTTCAGGCACTATGGAAGCTGAAGCAGCAAATAAAAATAAAGAATGTGAGGGTGACTGAAAAACTAGAAGATAAAAAAATAAAAATGAGTGAAGAATAATAGTGACGCTACTGACAGAAACAGGGTTTGGAAGAAATCTTCTGGACCAGAGAAAGGCTTTTATTTTTACAAGAGAAAAGTCCTGAGTTCTATGGTAACCATACTCCATACAGGTAGATTGCCACGATCATGAAAATAGTCTCCAAGGGAGGAACAGTAATGTGAAAATAGCAGGGGGGTTAGCACTGAGTCTTCAGGGTTTCTGATGCATACTCACCAACAATCTGTACAGAAGAGACATTCTTGTCAGCATTAATGTCATCAACCTGAAACACAAAGGTGGTTATCAGAGGAAAAAATGATACCATCAATGGAAAAAAGTACAGATACTGACATAAGCCCCTATGTTTTCCAAGAGATAGAACGCTCACCCAAAGCAACAGATACTGCTCCTCCACCCCCTGCACTGCTTCCTAACCTTCTTCCAACCAGGTACACACAATAATAGCAAAGCAGAGAAAAAGAAAATTCTTACCATAACTCCTTTCTTTAACCTGGTATCTTCACCTTCCAGGCAGAGAGAAAATACTAAACCACTGATTACCTCTATAAGAACCAACTCCTCAAATACTGAAGATCTTCTACCTAGTTCCTAGAGACAGTCATGGGCAATATTTAATGCATCGAGGCCAAAGCATAAGAAAAACTCAGGCCCGAGGTAAGACACATCAGCTAGAGAGAAAAAACAAAGAAGGAACTACTAGGCAAGCTTAGGAGCAGAGGTCTTTCTAGATGAGTACATGCCACACCAGATTGTTTTCTCAGTGACTCATCAGCTGGAAACTTATCTCAAAAGTCATATGCTAATGGAGGAAACGAAGCTGGCAGAAAACAAGTGATCCTAAACCAAAACTGTAACAATCACTTAAAAGTTCAAGACATTATTACTGTATTAGCCATTTATATAGCAAGTTTTGACCACAAGTCTAAAATGTGAGATTAATGCTATAGGCTGAAATTTATTAACTGGATACTTCAGTTTAAGACAAAAATTTGGTCACTACTTTTAATAAAACTATTCCTTTACGTGAGTGTCGAGAGCTTATAAAACTGGCATTTTAATTATGGTGATATTCTAGCATCAAGACTGTCCCAGCTTAATGTGACTCTCTGCTGAGCCAACCAATAACTGATTAAGTGGTCTATTAGGGCTTTCTAAGAGATCTGCAGCTCCTTCCTGATTCCTGGTTTAATTGCAAAGTATTGCCACCACTGATGCTGCTGCCGCCACCACCACTCCCCATTTCCAGGGAAGTGTGAAAGCAACACAGGAACCCCAAAGCAAGAACAGGAGTTGATCAAAACTTTGCCTTCCCTGTGGCCATTATTTTCTCTCTCTTCATGGGGATTCACTCTCCTGCTGCTTATGAAAGAGGCTCAGGCACTTACAGATTCATACGATGGGGGAGTTGCTGGTATCTGAGGTGGATGAATATTGGGAAAGGCCTGATAAGTCCCCATTGGCAATCCATTGAAATCCGACTGCAAGAGGAGAAAGGGAACATCAGAGACACTGCCCCCTATCTGTGATTTCTGAGGGTGTGTGTGTGTGTGTGTGTGTGTGTGTGTAAGGGAGAGAATGTATATATATTAAGAGCCCTAAATGAAAAAAATAATGCCCACAAGGGCCACCTATGGTCAAGATTTCAGATTTTTAAAGATCAATACCAAAGGGATATTCTTTAATTTACAGCAATTGCTTCAATATCTACAAAGGAAGAGTCCCAACAGTCTTTCTTACAAAATTATCTTCAGAGGAGGTTTTTCTACATGGTAGTAAGTGGCTACTTACTCATTTTTGGAAAAAGCTACTAGCATCCCTGCAACAGGTCCTAAAGGTGTTCTGTAAACCTACATGGAAAGGGTTTTCCAGCACCATCTCTCTCCCTAGATTTTCTTACTTAAAGCTATAGCTAACCACAAGATTTTCTCCAAATCCCAATGATAAAGTATTTTTTTCCACAATATATTCACTAGGCTAATACCAAATGTTCATACCGCTAAATCCTCCTAAGAATGTCTACTTCTCAAGTGTATTCACAGAACCAATTTGTCATCTATTACAGTTTCTACAGTTCACATCCACACTATTTACGAGCACACTTACTGGTCCTTTTGGAAGTGGATAGGAGAAAGGGGAACCGGGAGATGGCATGGGCATGGGCATGGGCATTGGCACTGTCCCATCAGGTCCACCAACTGGTGTGGTGAAGCCACCACCTCCTCCTCCTCCTCGTCCAGGACCACCTTTCTTCACATCATCTGTGAATCCAACATCAATAAGATCTGTCTCGACCCCAGCAGGAGCTTCTGCCTGAGAAAAAGAGAGCCTACTGTCATTAACCCATGTGACAAGCCAGGGTCCCCAGAAAGTGGACTCTGAGGTGGAGATTAGCATGAAAGAAGTTTACTGAAGATGGCTCCTGAGAGCAACACCTGCAGGAGAAGTGAAGCAGCAGCTTGGGTGAAGGGAGAATTTGAGGTGAGATAGTCACAACAAAGGCCTTGGGCAATACCCCAGAGAGCTCGGGAGCTGGGATGGACCTGCAGAGGTTTCCTCAATTAAGAAAAGTGGATAGTCTTTAAACTCCTGCACTGACCGGTTACTGGCTGCAGGTTGCACCCAGAAAAGACTTGTGACTTTGGGTGAGGACGATCTCTCTAGCTGAGGGCCATGTAGTCGCTGAAAAGTAGTTGGCTGTGTGTGAGGCATAAATACTTTCAAGAGCTGGAGTAATAGCACTCATGTCCTGAAAGTTGGCAATGTCTGAGAAGCAAACCAAAGCATCTACTAAATTCAGTTAACCTTAAGTGCTGAGTAACTACTGTTTGCCTATTTGTCCTCCTGTCCTGTACTATAAGCTTCTTCAAGACAGGGACTTGTTTTTATTTATCTGTGTATCCTTATCTTTCTGTGCACATCTAGAACTGTTTTCATGAACTGTTTCAGGCCTTGGGGTATTTCCTATCTACAGCAGGACTGTCAATTCTAGAAGTTCACAGAAAAGTAGCAATGAGACTACTTTACATTTGTATTAAGGTTTGTTATCTTCTCAAAGGACTTGCAGTCATTCATCTCATCTGATCCTTAAATACCCTGTGAGATCCTCAGACATACTTAATGTCACCCAAAAAGGCACTAACTGGATAAAGGCTTAAACTCCCACAAATAACTTAAGCTGCTGCCACGAACATGGTCATTTTTCAAAGAAGGTTGTCTCTAGAGATTTATTTAAACTTCTGGGACATTCTAAACTTACCATGACCACAGAGTCAGGCTCATAGGGCACATTGTAATTCTTGGCGATTTCAATCAGGTATCTCTCCACCAAGATTTTCGGTGGAGCCTCCACACTTAGTTTGTGCATTAGCTGTAAGTAAAAGGCCCAGGGATAAGTTAAGATGCATTCATAGTGAGCAGCTTTATCCTAATCTAATTATTGTTGTTGTTTGCCGTCGAGTCAAACCCGACTCATAGCGACCCCACCTTGGGTTTCCGAGGCAGTATCACTACGGAAGTAGGATTGCCCAACCTTCCTTCCAAGGAGTGGCTGGTGGGTTTGAACTGCCAGCCATCTGGTTAGCAGGCAAGTGTCTTAGCCACTGTGCTACCAGAGCTAATCTAATTAACTTAAGTTTATTCCTCATTTTACAGGTGGAAAAAAAAATGAGATTCCGACAAATTAAAGGATTGTTGAGTTACAAAGCACATTACAAGACTCATGTCTCCCTCTCTCATACACACACATACACACATTCCCTGCTTATATATGGTGCTGTGTTGATAAAGGCTGATATTGCTGCCCTTCACATTTGAATTCACCCACCCTTCTCCGCACCTCCCTTCTACCTTCACTCATCACAATGGTAAAATGTGTAGTGAGGCACAGGGAAGAAAAAGTCAAGAATGACAGAGTACCACTATCAAAGGTACACGGCAGAGGGAAGGTTTTGACTGAACTGCCACTCAGCCTTCCTTCTCACCCTCACTAGGAAATGAACTCAGTCACACAGTGGTACCCACTAGAATCACTGTAGGGAATAAAATAGCAAACTCCCACCCTGTCCACTACGTCATGTTTATTAGTAAGTGTGTTCATTACCCGGTCATTCACAGTGCCGATCTGATTGGTTCTACATAACTTTCCATATTCCTTGCTATATTTGGCACAGAGCTGATCAGCAACCTAGAGAGAAAAAAAAAAAAAAGTGGAAACTACTCCTATAGACTGTTTCAATCATCATATCAACAATGAACAAGCGTCATTACAGAATTTCAAAACAACTGTCTATAAAACCTTGAGGGGTTCATATTTTTTCATTTGTTCAGCCATCCATCTACTGAGCATTAATCATGTGCCAAACTGTTACAAGCATTATGATAAGCAATGTAAATAAAATGATGAACAAAAAGTTCCTATTTTATGGAGATCTCTGAAGAAAACTGTAATTTATATTCTTCAATCTCTCTAACAGTACAACTACAGACATCAATGAAACTGTTGTACTCACTATTTTCAACTCAGCCACTTCTGACTGGAGTCGAGGAGCAGCCCAAATCAGTGTAGACACGGATTCAGCCAGACCAGAATCTAGCTCCCTAATCCAGAAAAAAATTAGTAAAACTTAATGTCTTTAAAACCAACCAACAAAACCCTAGCTTTTGAATAGCGTATCTCTAAAGCTCTTTAACAAATTTCAATTGAGTCTTACAACTCTAGAGTTCCAGCCATTATTGGCATAGTGCCTAAGGCATGTGACTGCTAACCAGAAGAGTGGCAGTTCAAATCCACCAGCCACTACTCAGAAGAGAGACTGGGCAATCTAATTCCGTAGAGATACCACCTTAGAAACCTAAGGAGGGGTCACTAGGAGTCGGATCCGATTTGACAGCAGTGAGTTATTTTACTTTTGGGGAAACTCAAACTCAGAAATGCTAAATGACAAGCTCGAGGCCACAGAGCCAAGAAATGGCTGAGCCAAGACTCAAACTTAGGCCGCTCGCTTTCAGATTCTATACTTTGTTTCAATAAGACCAGGCCTTCAGGGAACTAGGAGGGAAAAGTCCTTAGGTATGTGAGGTATTCGCTTCCTGTATGTCGAAAGAGACCAACCAGTATTACTCCTTCTCAATTCCAGAGATGAGTTAGGTCTACAAATTAAAACATCTTACTTCATAGACTGGATGAGGCCAAACCGAGCAAGCAGCAGGTCACAGTACAGCTCTAGGATCTCCATGGCCTCCACCAGGTAGTCTTCCCGGATAATGTGCTCCACTCGAATCCGAGCACGTTCATCCTTCCCAGCAGCCAGATAGTCAGCTATCTCCTTCCTTGCTTTCTGGGCCAGTTCAGCTAAAACATAAATTCCACCTTAGTCATATAACAGTAGTAGTCTGGGCCTTGGCCCATGGGCCACCCTATAAGAGAGAAGCACGGCATTTTTGCTTTGTCCTAGCTCACTCTCCCTTAGTAAATCTAGTGTAAAATCTGCTGCTCTGTCTAGATCAGAATATTGTTTATAGAGGCAGAAACTTCCAACTAAATTTCCAACTAATTCTATTCCATAGAAACTGAGCATGTCCCTCTCCCTGCAACAAAGTGTTTCAGTCCTACTAGTCACAAAACCAGGAGCTCTGGTAGCATAGTGTCTAAGGCACTTCACTGCTAACCAGAAGGCTAGCAGTTCAAACCCACTAGCCACTCCTTGGAAGGAAGATGGGGCAATCTACTTCCGTAGTGATACTGCCTCGGAAACCCAAGGAGGGGTCACTGTGACCCAGGTCTGACTCAATGGCACATAACAACAACAACAATCACAAAACCACTCAATCTCAAGTGCAGAAATGTACTCAAAGTGGAAAGGGCCTGGGATTTCTAAGGCTTCATAGCACTAGTCTGGAAGACTCATCACTAGGGTGCTACCATCCCAGTGTATTTTGGGAAAGAAAGGCAATCATGTTCTACTTACTTTTTTTTTTCTCCAATAGTTTAAGACGATTTATGACTAATCTCAAATTGACTCGTAAACGCTCAGCTTTAAATCCAGAGCCCAGCATACTGTGCTGTTCCTCCTGGAAAAAGAAGCACAAATGATTATTTTCAAGTCAGAATTACTTCAGGAAGTAACATCTTTTAGTAGATTATGTGACACAGTAAATTGAAGTGGTTTCATAGGAGAATGACATGATCTGATTCATGTTTTTTAAAAGATCATTTTGGCTGTTGTATGGAGAAATGATTGGGGTAGGATAAAAAATACAAGCAAGAAGGCCAGGGAAAAGGCTATTACTACAATCCAGACAAGAGATGGGAACAGCTTGGTCTGGAGTGGCTAGCAATCGAGGTGGTGGCAGAAGCAGCAGATTTTGAGATCTATTTTGAAGGCAGATCTGAGAGAACTTGGTGGTGGATGAAATGAGTAAGATTAGAATAGGAGTAGTGTGGTAAAAAGACAAAAAAAGCAGGAGGGTTCCCTGTTTCTCCTAAAAATCTGAACAGTAGTAGTGATGAGAAAAGATGACTGAATTTAGATCCAAATTCAAACACATTCTCTCATCATCTTAATTCCAAAATTAAGTCTCAGCCTTTAGGAAAAAACTAATGTGCAAGATCACAGAACTCTTATTAACGTCTACTCACATACAAATACATACATAGGGATGTGAGGTCCAAGAAAACAAGAACAAACTGCTCTATAATATTCTACAACAGAAGTCTATTTACCAAGCCTTCTACTGAAGAGCAGACTTAACAGACAACACAACCATCATCCACACAATTTTAGGCTATCCCACTGTGCACTGACCACTATGTGTTCTATTTCAAGACGGCAAATTTCTATTTACTTCAATTACTTCTGCATTTAAACTTCAAAACAAAGTATCTAAACAAAAGCTAGGTCTAAGAAAGTAACCAAAGAATGGTCAAATCAAAAATGATATTCAATGTATAAAGCATTAGGAACAGTGTGTTTGCCTGAACATAACTCATTCTTTATCTGGTGCTGCTGTAACAGAAGCACCACAAGTCGGTGGTTTTAACAAACAAATCCATTTTCTCACAGCTGAGGAATTTAGAAGTCTAAAGTCAGGGTACCAGCTCTAGGGGAAGGCTTTGCTTCTCTGTTAGCTCTGGAGTAAGGAGCTCCTTGTCTCTTTGAACTTCTGCTCCTGGGAGATCTTCAAGTGGCTTGGCATCTCTCTTTCCCCATCTCTGCTTCCTTAATTGCCTGCTTAATCTCTTTTTATATTTTAAAAGAGACTGACTTAAGATATACCCTATACTAATCCTGCCTCATTATCATAACAAAGAAAACCCACTCCCAATACAACACATTATTTTGGGGAGACACAATTCAATCCGTAACAATCACTAATAGAAAACACATTATTTTCCTTTGTAAAGCTGCTCCAGGAACCTTTATACATTTAATATATAACCTATATCCCAGTTGAATATGGGGCTTGCATATCATGAAGTATCTGGGATTCATTATACTCAATTATATTCAGTTCCATTCACCAGATATTTATTAACCGTATGTCAGGCACTGGTTAGATAACGGGGATAAAAAGATAAATAAGGCACAGTCCTGACCTCAGAGAAACTTATAGTCTATTGGAAAACACTGCTAAGAAATCCTATCATGCAACAACAGGTCTCTCCTCGTCAAGAAGAAAGAAGAAAACCAAAATTAATGGAAACAATCAGTCCTAGCGACTGGTACACCATCCGATCTGCAACCTATACAACTATGAGACCAGAAGAACTAGATGGTGCCCAGCTACCACTGACATCCACTTGGAAGGGATGTAGGAGATCCTGCATAAAGAGGGAGAACAATGTGGTACAAAACTCAAAATCATTTGGAGGCAAAAAAAAAAAAAGAAGAAGAAGGTGGGGACCAGGTTTGCTGGTCCAATAGAGCCTGGTGTAACCACTGAGACTATGGCCCCTAGCTGCCCTTCAGGTCTGGAATTGAACCCACAACTGTGGTTTCCAGCCAAAGTACAGGCATGTGAGTTAAACATTTACCTCAAGTAGACACATGCCCTGGAGAGAACAATCATGGGAGAAGGAAGGGCTGCTTATGCACAGGGAGATAGCTCAGGGTGCAGAAGAGTATGAAGGGATGGACACTGGGAGGAGGTAACTATGGGGAGGAAGTGGGAGGGGAGCTGCTGCATTGTCAATTTTGGTCAATGACATGAGACAAAGTATATGTGAACTGCTGTATGAAAAGTGAATTTACTCTGTAAATCTTCACCCAAATCCTAATTTAAAAAAAAAAAATCCTATCAACTCTGATACAGTTTGGCCAACAGTATTAATTCTAGAATGGTTCTCAACCAAGGCAATTTTGTACTCTAGGGGACATTAGGCAACATCCAGAGACATTTTAGGTACTCAAGACTGAAGGAGATGCTACTGACATCTAATAGGCAGGGGCAGGAATTCTGCTAAACATCCTAAAATGAACAGGGTGGCTCCCTACAGCAAGGTATTATCTGATCTAAAATGCCAATAATGTTAAGATTGAGAAATCTTGTTCTATGGAAAAAACACCCGACCTACTGGGAAGGTTAAAAGGATTTCTAAAAGGCAAGGCCTAAGCTGAGTCCTGGGAGCTCTGGTAGTGTAGTGCCTAAGCACTTGACTGCTAACCAGAAGGCTTGCAGTTCAAACCCACCAGCCACTCCTCAGAAGGAAGATAGGGCAATCTACTTCTGCAGTGATACTGCCTTGGAAACCCAAGGAGGGGTCGCTGTGAGTCAGCTCCGAGTCGACGGCACATAACAACAGTAAGCTGAGTCCTGAAAACTCAATGCCACAGAGCTGATTCCAACTCAGAGCAACCCCCATTGGGTTTTCAAGGCTGTAAATCTTTACAGAAGCACACTGTCTCATCTTTCTTCCACAGAGTGGATGGTCGGTTTGAATCGTCAATCTTTGGGTTAGCAGCCAAATTCCTTAAACCACTACACCACCAGAGCTCCTTTTAAGCTGAGTCCTAAAGGAGAACAAAATGTTTGTAAATAGTGGGTGTGAGTATCATCAGTAGATGGAGTAGTGTATGCAAAAACAAGGTAGCAGAAAGAACAGGAGCTTTCTAAGAAACTCAAGGTCAGTACAGATGAAGCATGGCATGATAGTTTATGGCATAACATGTCTGTCATAACTGTAAGTTCCCCTATCTTTTGATATTTATGTCATATAAATAATGCTAAAATATTCATATGCATATTACTTTTCCTATATTTGAAATTAGGAGTCCCAAGGTAGTACAAGGAGTCCTTGGTTTGCACAAATGGTTATGCATTTGGCCACTACACCCAAAAGTTGCCAGTACAAGACCTGTCGATTGACTTCCTAAAAATCAGCCAGTGAAAACCCTATAAACCACAGTTCTACTGACACACGTTTGGTTGCCATGAAATCAGAATCAACCCGATGGCAACTGGTGGTGGTACTGGATATTTGAAATTAATTCGTTACACTAGATTTTCTGAAGCTAGTTTCATTTTTAAATCAGAATACCTTATCTGTAATTGGGACTTGATTCTGATTATTTTAATACCACACAGCACTTAAACTGAGCAGACTAAAGTTGGAGATTCCAGAGCTCCTTGGCATTTGGAAGGCAGAGAGAGGCACAGGAAGAAAGGGAGGGAGCACAGAAAGAACTAATTTGGACAAAACAATGATGTTAGTTTAAAAATGAAAAAACATTTTAATTTGCTAATTTTAAAATGTAATATTAACAGTGAGGTTTCAAAGCACTATCCCATCAAGTACTGACTCCCAAACTTACCTATACCAGAAGATGTAGTTCTGAGGAAGGTGTGAAAAGTTTCCCATTGGTTTATAGGTAAAGCCAAAAGGCTTTTAATTGAGATATACATGTAATCTTAATTTATTCTACTATTTTATTAAATAAATTCATTATACTCTTCTCTTTACTTTTGCCTATTTGAAATTTTCCAGAATAAAAAGCTAACCCACAAACATATATAGGTTTAATAGAGGCTATTTCTACACATGTATTTATATATACTGCAAATATATCCACGAATATAGTAGAGCACACAGGGGGCAAAATTACGAAAACTTTTCAGCCACAACCAAACACCTTGAGGGAATGAGTCACTGGGCCTGGGAACTCAGGATCATAGGGACACTAAGGTCAACTGGCATAACACAGTCCACAAAGGCAATGTTTTACATCCACTGAGTAGCTATTGAAGTCTTAAAAGCTTGCGAGCAGCAACTGGCATAACATACACTACACAAAAACAATTGTTTTACATCCTACATTGGTGAGTAGTGCCTGAGGTCTTAAAAATTTGGAAGTGGCCACCTAGATGCAACAAAGGGTCCCTCCAGGTCCAGAGCAAAGAAGAATGAAGAAAACAAAAGATGCATAGAAGCAATTAGTCCAAGGGACTAGTGGACCACAGGAACTTCAGCCTATATGACCATGACCTCAGAAGAACTAAATGGTGCTCAAGTACCATTGTCAATGACTCTGAAAGGGATCAGTGCAGGAGATCCTGGATAGAATGGAAGAACAATGTGGATCAAAACTCAAAATCATAAAAAGACTAGGTTTGCTTGTCTGACAGAGCCTGATGAGATCCCCAAGACTATGGATCCTAGTTACCCTTCAGGTCTGGAATTGCACTCACTCCCTTGGCTTCCAGCCAAACAACAGATGAACATATAGGGTGAACATTTACATCAGGTCCACTCCTTAGAAGGATCAATGAAAGGAGTATAGAAGGTCAGTATTTGTACAGGGAGTAGGAATGCATAGGAAAGAAGGATGCAAGAAATAGTTAACTACAGGGAGGAGGTGGAAAGAGAGCTGTTACGATGTGGGGAACTGCAGTCATTGTCATGGAACAGAATGTGTATGAACGGGTGTATGGAAAATAAACTTACTCTATAAAGTTTCACCCAAATCATAATAAAAATTTCAAATAGTAATAAAAGCTTGTGAGCAGGTAAGTTCCAAGTATCAGTCTTTCTTTGTCTGGAGCAAAAAAGAATAAGAAAATCAAAGACA